TACGGCACGAGAAGTGCAAAAACGCATTATCGCACCGGCTCGCCTGGTGCGTTCCAGCCTGGGTTTCCATTCCAATCCGCTCACCGATCGGAAGGAGAGTAAGGCAAGGTGATTATATATCGCCCAAGCTTTTCACAGCGTGTCTCGACATGATATTTCGGAAAATGGATTGGAGGGGCGGTCTGAAGGTAGGTGGTGAAAAAGTAAATCATTTGCGCTTAGCGGACATATTTCTTATTGCTAAAATCTCTCACGAAATAAGCGAAATGCTACAAAGCTCAAGCCACAAACTAAGCAATTGGAACCGAAAAACAATGCATCAAAAATGAAGGTGATGCAAAATCCCGGTATGCCTGTGGTAAGATTACAGATAGGTGGTATGGACTTGGAAGAAGTTGACAGTTACGTTTTTCTCGGACAAAAAATGAATATGCGGCGGAGTTTCCATATGGAGATTGCATGTCGAAGGGCTACCAGTTAGCGCAAATTTCTCAGTATCGCCGATGTCCTTAAAATTTCGAACCGGAAAGACCGTGCTCACATCTTCAGCATCACAGTGCTGAAGGCAGCGACATACGGATGCGAAACATAGTCACTGGTGAAAGCTGAGGAGCAAGCGCTGGCTGTGCTGGCAGAAACAATGGAGCGAAGGATGCTTGTGCGTCTCACCACGACCGTATAAACACTCAGACTCTTCGTCATATGAGCGGCATGCAGGATATCATCACGACCATGCGAGAAAGCAAAATCCGGTCGAGCAGGATATGTTGCCGGCTCTGCGACAACCGGCGGGCGAGGCGCATTAGTGAATATATCCCCAAGAAAGCAAACGGTCACTCGGGCGACTTGAAGAGGTGGCACACCTACGTAAAACAGGTCGTAGGTACTTATTGGAAGGGTTCAATCCGAAGCCGAAGGGCCTGGTATAGCTGCGTTCGGCGTGCGGGAGCATCCTTATAACATCACTAACTGGTCCGAGTAGTCTTGGTATATATATATATATATGTATATATACATATATACATGTGCATATATATATATATTTGTACATATATATAATTTTCACATATTGCTGTGCGAAACTGTGTGCATTTTATCGAATAGGATTTGGATTAGTTGGCATCTCGAAGGGTGC